GCGTGGCTGAAGGCCAGCTCTGGTATGTTAAAGCCACGTAGATAAGCTGACATTGGTTACTGGTGTTGTCTCACTTCAGCTTATTGTCTGCCTTTAATCCTGAGCCGATTAATCCGTCCAAGGAGGAGCGAAGGCTCGTGAGCGAGGCAGAAAAACAGCCGTGGATGATGGGTGAGAGGGAGCTGAAATACTTGGAAGGAAGAGCAGATGCACCTTGTAAGCAATGTGAAGCTGTACGTGATGACGGGAGAGCACAGCCAGGCCCGTCGGAGAGGTGATTAAGAGCCTTGGTGATTGCGGCTGGAGCAGCCATGGCAAGTTGGGTACACGATGCTCAAATCCCACTGCCTTCCAACGGGAGGCGGACGCTGCGTTTGTCTGGGAAACAGATAAAAATATCCCGTAATTTCGGAATCTCGTCGGTATTCTACCAAGGGAAAAATTAGACGGCTTATAACATCCAAAATCCTTCCGAATTTTTTTTTTTTTTTTCTTAAAAAGCAGTTAATTTACTGAGGTAAGTGGGCTTGCTTGCTTCGAAGCCGTAGGCTGGTACATTTTGGGTTCTGCTTCTCAGAAGGTTAAAAGATAAATCTACAGAATGTTTTCCGTTCATAGCTGAGAAACCACCGTAACCCTAACCTTGGCTTTGCCATGTAACTTGCTGAGAATGTATGTTAAATAGAGAGAAACATGAGGATTAGGCCTGACATTCACTCTGATTCAGGGAGCCACTGCAGGCACCACAAGGTATTTAAGTCCTCCTTTGAAGGTCTCGGTACTGATGAAGCGATACTTAAACGATCTTTTCCTTGTCTCCTTTTTCTTCATTTTGTTTCTGTTTTTGGAGCAAGCTTTGAGCTTAAATTGAGCTGGCAACTTCCTTTTCAGACCTCAGCAGCTGACATCATTTGTACAGCAGTAATCAACAACAGGAAGAAAACATCTGGGCTTGGAAGCACGAAGAGATCAAGGCTGTAGTGGTCTAGAGAATAAAGGGGTGACAACAGTCTGTGTTGCAACAGTCTCGACAACAGTCTTGAGAGTGTCCTGCAGACGTGAGGCCACGCCGGTGGCTGCAGGAATTGAACGTTCCTGCGTTCTGAGATGAAGGAATGAAAGATGGGGCAGTAAGCCGTCGGGTTCCCTAGGGAGAAGGGGGTCAGTGAGGTCAGGACAGCACGCTGCTTTTCGCATGGGAAGCCTCCAGGGTAATCTCCGCGGCTGGATTTGCTGCCTGCTCCGGTGGCTCAGAAGACCTTGTGTCCGTGGTCCTGTGGCGGATCATACCCAAGGGTCATCTTGGGATCCCAGGGCTGTGGGAACGCAGCGGATGGAGCTTTCCTCAGCTGCTTTGTACTGATCTGAAGCGCAGGGACCTTAGAGAAAAAGCTTTTTGTTTTACTCTGAGGTCTTGAGCTGTGCCTGAGGACTGGAAGGAGAACTTCCTCTTAGCTGCATGTGGGCGATTCCTATCTATACAAAAAGGCAGAAGTCATTGCAATGCTCAGTTCTTTTAACAGCAGGCAAAGAATCAAATCTTGACTCTTCTCCTTTGAAGGATCTAGACTCATTCTTGCTTATAAGGGCTCTTGCTATTATGTCTTTACTTAAAAAAACCACAACCCTTTCATGAGCCATAGCATGAAGGGATGTAGGCCATGATCATGCAGTGTAGTTGGCCCCTTCCGTTGTAACAAGGGATAGTAAAATTTGCATTTGTGTCTGAATTACCTCTAGACTAGCGCTTAGGGTTACATCCACCTTCCTCGTGTCTTACGTGCAGCATCTACTGCTCCTGCTGCCTTGCCTGCGGCAGCACAGCTTCCTTCCTGCTCCAGGATGCCGTGGTGTCAGGCATCCCACGGTGTGCTCTACCATGTTGCTCCTTCGCCGAGTCTCTTTGGACTAGTTAAATCACAGGCGTTTGAAGGCTGTTGGCTTACCTTGCGCGTTCAGGCCGCCCTCTTGCTGACTTCTTCCACGTGGATGTAACAAAGCGGTTGATCAGCACTATTTGCCCGGCAGAGAGCTGCTATGGAAACAAACTCTGTTCTGTTTTGATGGGGATGATGGGTGATTTGGCTATTGGTGAGCTCAAGGGAGCTGCTAGGAGATGTGTCGGCAGCGCAGCTTCCATATGAGATATCCCTAATCCCCAGAGCTGACTTTCATGCGGTATGCACCACTACCTCCATCCCTTATCCTTATTGCAACCAGCTGTGGTTTGACTTTGTCAAAGATCTGATAGAGCTCCCTTACCCCCTCTCCCACTCCTTCCACAAACTCCCATTAGTCATACTTGGGCAGCGCATGAAATAAGATGGTGATAAAGCTCTGATCCTAGACACCAGAGTCATTCCTGGGGGCTCCGTGCTGGGCTGTGAAGACTGCACTGTGTTAACCCCTTGGTGCCTCCAGGCAGAGTCTCCTAATGCCCGTAAGCCACGTATCCGCTGGGGGTTGATAGTGCTCTTATGGCACCTTTCATCTAAGTAGAGGTGGATTTATTGCTGTGGTGTGTTAGAGATTAAATGGGCTCTTTCACCTTTTTAATTAGTGGGCTAAGGAAGAGAGCTCTCGTGTTAAGGCACTGGCCATTTGTGAAAACCTGGGTTCTCTCTGTATCCCATTGGTAATGCAGAGAGAATGTTACTTCTCTCCTTGTTGTTCATACTACTTAAGCTAAAGATTAACTTTGGCAGACTAACAAGGGACTACGTACTGGCCAAGAAACAATTCAGTCTGGAGGTTAGTGGAAGGTTGCTGACCATTGGGGAGGAGGAGCTCGTGGAACAGAAGTTGGATTATTTTTTTGAAAACAGGACAGTTTATCGGCTGGTTAAATTTGGGTTGCTTTTCCCGAGGGTGGTGAAAAGCACATCCTTAACTTGATGCCGGTCACCAGGCAAATTTCAGAACCTTCACTCGTAGCATAGGTTTCTCTGTTGGGCAGGACGCTGCTGTCTGAGCAGATGAAGGCCACCAGCCACGCCTGAAGCCCTCAGCCACTGCTGCTGAACGCTGCGGCTCTGCTGCCGGCGTATCGGCCACGAACTGTACCTCGCATCCTTCCCTTTGCAGGCTAGCGTCACACTTCGAGGGGCAAACACGAGCCTTTGGCAAAAAACAAAATACTTCAACTGCCATTTCGCTACCTTCACATAGCCACCTTTGCAAAGGGGAGGGCGGGTGGGCAGAGCTTTGTGGGAAGGGTGGTTGTTGGGAGTAATCCTCTCGGCTTTCTACCGTGGTTGCACATCTCAACCATTGGAGACGTCATTACCGACTTGAGTGGCTGAAGCTCCTGGGTCGTGCAGGAGGGCAGTACTGCTTTTGCAGCGGGTCGAGAGCTCCCGGTGTAAATCCAGTTCTTAAGGCAGTGCAAAAACAGTAAATCTAGGCTGACGTGTCTGCGTGGAGGCAAAGCAAAGCTTTGTATTCACTGGGAGCGAGTAGGGCCCAAGGACTTCGTCTCTTATCCCAGTTGTGATTTAGAGCTAACTGCTGAGCTGATGGCAGCCCAGATACTCACTGGTAAAGTTAAAAATAAACTGGTCGAATTTCTCTGCTGATAATCGGAGCAACTTTTTTGTGTGTGTGTGATTTGATGTAAAACCAAGCCAGGGCGCTCTCCTCCTCCTCAGATAGTGCCTGCCCAGTTTGTGGCCCCTGAAGTCCCACAGTCTTCTCCTACTCTCTCACCAGCAGTTCTGTTTCTGAGATGCTGCCTTGCTGCTTGTCTTCACATTACTGGGAGGAACACTAAACCTCCAGATCCAGATCTCTCTTGTTACCCTTCGAGGCTGATCTGCATCTCTAGCGCTGGTGGAGTATCCTGGCGCTGTATGAACCCAGCTGCTGCTGGACCTAATGTGCTCGGCTGGAACGAGGACCAGACCGAGCGGACGCCAGAGGCGAGCTCAGGACCATCTTTTTGTCAGGAGCTGTCTCTCCAGCCAGGACATGCTGTTGGTCCTGTTTCTTCCAGTCCTCCCTTGTGCGCCGTCTCTGCAGGTGCTCTGATGTGGGATGCGTAGCACAAAGTAGTTGTGATCCATGCGTGGAGTCCTCGGGTGTCACCGCGTACGTGCCGGCAGTAACACACCTTCGCACTCTTGGGATGCCTTTTCCATGTCCAGAGGCATGGACGAAGGTGCTGCTTGAACGTGAGGTGCTGAGTGCTGAAAGCTGCTGACTGACGCTCGCAGAGGATCTTGCCTGTGTCGTTCTTTGTCGCCAAAGAGGGGAGCGGTGTTTATAGAGCTCTCTGTGGTGGCTTGTGTTTGCTGCCCGAAGGATCTCATTTGCTCCGTTCAAAAACGATTGCGGAGAACAGGCTGTGATAATTGAACGAATTCCTTCAGCTTCAGCTCTGTAATCCGCTTTCTGGCTGCATCCTCAGACGTGGGGCTTTAGAAACCGGGTCTTTCTAACTCAGGTATTTTAAGGGGAAGGGGGTGTCTTGTTTTTGCAGCAGCCTCTGCAAAGCATCCTTTCTCTCTTGGGCATCCAGGAAAACTACTGCACCGGCCATTTACCAGTGCTTTGCTTGTCTTCCCCAGTTGATCACGTGGTTCCTGAGCCAGGGACCAGTTTGCTGACTGCGTTCGACCAGTGGCGAGAATGGGCAGACAGCAAATCCTGCTGCGACTACTCTCTGCATGTGGACATCACCGAGTGGCATAAAGGTGTCCAGGAGGAGATGGAAGCTCTGGTTAAAGATCATGGTAAGTTCAGTTTAGGAAAGCTCAGAGAAACCTTTTCCCTCTTTATTTTTTAGGACCGTCTCCCGTATTTTTTAGGACTGGCTGTTGTGAAATATTTTACTCTTACATCTAATAAAGCTGTTCTGGGCCCTGACATGAACTTGGCTCATTCTGGCTTCTTGTGGAGGTTTGGGCAGTTAGTGTTGCAGAGGGCTCAGGGGCATGTTATGCGCTGGTGTGGCTGCAGTGGGTGGGGTGGGTGAGTGTTGATTCTGAAGGGGTGAATCTCTTGCTGCTGCCGTGCGGAGGCGTGCCGTTGTTCAGCGGAGGTCCTTTGACTTTTGATAGTGCAGGTAGGTGGTGGGTTCGGCCATTAAACTGTTGTAAACAAGGGAAGGATCAGGCCCAGAAGGAGCAATCCAGCACTGCTTGTTGAAAGTGCAGAAGAGCTGAATAAAATGACCTCATAGGTTTTTCCCCTCTTTAATTTCCTTGACGTTTCATCCTTGGGCTAGACTGATTTTCCATCCTATTTGTCGTTTAAAAACCTAACCTTTTGCATTCCAATGAGTGCGTTCCCCCACGTGCTGGCTAAGAGCCTTTGCTGGTTCAGAAGGCAGGAGAGGGAAAGCCGACTTAGGAGCGTTCCCTGTGTCTTGGTCAGTACGAACACTGTGGAGGAGGGCATGCTCACAGACACGGATTTCCCATCGCTCTCGCAGGAGGGAGCGTTGGGGGATCAGGCAGCCAGGCCCAGTCTCTGCTTTTGTGCGTGATGCGTTTTGCTGATTTTTTTACTCAACCTCCCACAGTGCTGAATCCACAGAATTATTCTTATTTCAATGTTAAGTGGAAGCCTTGGGGTTTAGCTGTCCCCACGGCTGGAGTGCAGGCTCTGCCGTTCTCATCAGTTGTGTTAATAGATGCCACATGGCTGAGGAGATCCTGGCTTTACGCTGTGATCTGTTGGGAGCGCGTGTGCCTGTGTGCACGCACATGTGTGTACACATTTCGTAGCAGATTAAAGTAATTTATTTGTCTACCCATCGTTACTGCTTGCGGGGGGGCTGATGGAGGGGGAACATCTCCTCTCTGTGAGGAACGGTGTGTTTCGTAGCTTTATCTGTGCCTGCAGTTTGTATGTCAAAGATAATTCCTTTGCTCTCTTTCTGCCAGGTGTGAACTCCTTCTTGGTTTACATGGCTTTCAAAGATCGCTTTCAGCTAACTGATTCTCAGGTAGGAAGGCTTAATGTTCACATGCTTCTGTCCCTGAAGCTGTGCATTAGTGTCTTACAAGGGTTCAATTTCAATACACTTGGGTCTGACATTCTCTTTTGGTTTCAATCTTTGCACACTTAACAGTACCTAAGATTTGCAGCAGTAGCCAGAGCTCTGGTTTGAAGTTTTCGGTTTTTGTTTTTTTAATTAAAAAAAAAAACCAACTAACAACAAACCCTGAAAGGCTTGGCTGGGGAAAGCAATGGCAAAACCCTCATTTTGAGAGATTTAAGGTTTTATTCCAGCTCCTTTGGTGTGGAAGCAGTGGCAGTTTTATAAATTGCTGCTTTATGCCTAGGCACAGAGCAGGACGGGGAGATCTCTGGCATAACTGTTCTATGACTTTATAAGCTGAAACCGGTCCCGGTCCAGAAGCGGGTTTCTGGCTTTAGCGTTAGAATTGCTGGGACCTCAAAAAGGAATTGCCCTCCTGTTTGCTATTCTAGTGGATACGTTTGGGTACATGTAATTGTTGAGATGGGCAGTTTATATTTCTAAATGTGGTGGGAGGAGAGGAATGCCTGGGAGTCATTTGGAACAGCGTAGGAGGCAGTGGTGTATGGCAGTTATCTCTAATGGCTCTGGTAAGTGTTTTAATGAGTGACCCTTGACGGAGCCGGCGTCAGTTGTGGGTTACTCAACCTGAGCCCTCTCCAACTGGTTGCTGGAGTGAGAAATCCCGCTGCTCCTATCCCAGGCGGTGAGAGGGGTTCTCCCTGAAAATCAAATGCAAGGGTTTTTTTCCATGCCAGGCACCAGTAAATGAAGGCATGAAACAGATACAACTCTGTGAGCTCCTTAAAATCACCCCAGATGTAGGCCTGTGCAGTTGCTGTTTCTTCAGCATGGTCAATATACCCAAACCTGGCTTCTTTGCCATATCAGTAGCATCTGACTGTACAGATTGGGAAATGGGAGTTGTAGGAAGGAAAATGGATCATATCTATCCAGCAAGCCACGTCTTCTATTTCTTAATGCTTCTCTTTCTCTTCTCCATTCTGAAAAATTCTGTATGCTGAAGGAGTCTGGAGCGTATACTATAGAATAGGTGTGTACCTGAGCGTACACTCGGGGTATATTGTACTGTATGTTTTCTGTCTTCCAGATATATGAGGTCCTGAGTGTAATCCGGGATATTGGTGCGACAGCTCAAGTGCATGCTGAAAATGGTGACATCATTGCTGAGGTATGTTATGTTTATTCTGTGGATTATTAACTTCAAAATGCTGGGAAGGATTTAAATTCTAAATCCTTCTTTGCAAACGGAAGATCACCAAGATTTTTAAAAACATGTCATAGCTGCATCAAGGATGCAAGCAGAGCTGTGCATCAAATCTCATCCCCTTCATTGTCACGGATAAGGCAGGTTTTCGTGGCAGCTTTCAGCTTGTGGCGGATATCGGCCATCCCTGCCCTTCTCCCGAGAAGTGAAAGACTCTGTCTGGGCGTGACTGTCACTGCGGACAATAAAATGTTCTGTGGTAACTAAGACTAGGGGGAGTGAGAAGGGAAATAGCTTCATACAGTGCTGGGATGCTGGTGTTTAGGATCTGTTCATCCTTTAAACAGCAGCAAAGAAGAAATGTTAATAATGTATTTGGATTTGATCTCCAGCTCATTATGTCTCAAGCATGCAAAACTTGGTCCTGCAGTTGCAGGATGATTTTTTCATGAGATACTGTTTTGCCACATCTCAGAGGTTATTGATGCAGATGAGTAGTGAAAGTCGAGGTGCTATGAACCCAGTGTGAAGCAAATCAAAATAAAAAGTTTTCCTGACCTTCTGTGAACAAAAGAAGGGTTTTGTGAGCTCTGCTTACTTACAACAAGGGAAGCTGGACAGGACTCTGGTTGTAAGGCCCTTATCTAAAGCCCCGTGTGATTATTAGTTAGCACAGATGCCTGGGATCTCACTTGTACTTCTTTCAAACAGCTGTGTTTGCTGCAAGAAAAAAATGTGTGTTGCTTTAAATCTTTTACCTGCTCTTTTTTCTCTCTGCCTTAGGAGCAGCAAAGGATCCTGGAACTGGGGATCACAGGCCCTGAAGGGCACGTGTTGAGCAGACCTGAAGAGGTGAGGACTTTACTGCCTTTGCATTTGTTTCCCCAATTTATAACATTTCTGCATTGCCGTCGAGTACTTCATACTGGGATGAATGTGGCTGGAAAGATGATTTCATCCTGGCTGTAAACATTATTGCTGCATGGAGTAAGGGAAGAGGCTAAGGCACTTCTAGGGACTAACTAGTGACTAGTCCCTTCTAGAGACTAGCTGCTGTGGGTACTTCTGAGGAGTTCTGTACTAGAGAAGGGGACATCTCCAGGGAGTAATTCATCCAGGCTAAGATTTGATTCACCCTCTGGAAAATCTTACCTCTTTCTGTTGATTGTTGGAGATAGTCTGTAAAGGCTCTGCTCATGCATCAGGTATCTCAAGTGAAGTGAGATGTTGTTTGAACCACAGAGCCCATGGTAAGCACTCAAGACACAGAGAGCTGTTGGTACTTAGCACATCTTCAGTTCAGCCCTTTGATAGCCCAAGCTGGAGTCCTACATTAGGAGATGTAGAAAACGTTGAACCTGAAGCACAGGTAGAGCACAGTCTGCCTGAATCACCATTTCCTTGATTCAGTTGCTGCACAGGAACACTTTAAGTTGGAGTCCCTGAAGAATTACTTGTTCTGGTGATGTTGGTCTTTACTGAGCTAGCCCCTGAGGGTCTTGTAGTTTCCCATCGCTTTCAGTCGGGTTTTGCGTGAGTTCATTGCAAACTTCAGAATTTGCATTTATGTAGGCAGGGTTCTGCCACTGACTTTTCTAGATCCCATTTCTTGGGCTTCTCTCTCAGTCCTTATTTTATCAAGACTTCCTCTGAATCAGCAGAAATCTAAATCAGCCTAAATCCCAACATTCTTAGGCACTTGCATAGTGCAAGTTATATTGCACTACCATAATATTTGATCATTTGATGAACGTTTTACCGATGGTGGATTTTTTTACACCGAGGGACCAAGTGGTTTGCTGAAGGCACAGCAAATATGTACCAGAGAGGGGAGCTAGTTCTTAGATCCTAGCCCAGCGCTGTAATATAGTTAAACCTCCATACTTCCACATTGATTTCTCTAGGGTCTCGCACCCCAGTCCCTCTCACTCCAAGTCTTTAAAATAAATCTCAAGAGTAAGAAGGAACCGTAAAATGTTGCTTTTCAGGTTGGTTCCCATTGCATTCTTCGTTTCCAGTCTTTCAGCATCTCTAAGCTAGACATCTCACCATGGCATTCCGGGTTTGTGAAGTCCATCCGTTACGTACAAGCAGTTCTTTTTGTTCCTCCAAGATATTGGGGCTTTGCTGACTGCCAGATGTGACAGCTGGAAGCTGGGTGTGTGAGATCATCCACACGTGCCCCTCATGCTCCCTCTCTATTTCCTCCCCTCGGTTCACACAAGCAGCATCTAGAGACATTTCAGTAGGAATATAAATCACTCAGTTGCTTCATGCAGAAGGGGATAAAAAATGCTTGACTTGGGCAGTATGCGAATCCTCACAGAATTTGTCTTTGGCTCCGGGAGCTGGGATTTTTTGCTTCCTGGAAGTTGTGAGCAAACACTTGCACTGAGCCTTCCACCCACCCCTGCATTTTTTTCTTTTTAACATATTTTTTGGCTTGCATCAGGAGAGCAGGAACAGATGCAGACATGACACTTGGGGCTCATCTGTGGAGCACCCCTAAACTTTTGCTGACTTCAAAGGAAGGCTGCTCCTTACCTTAATGGATTTGGCCATCAAGGTAGCCAAGTTTTGTCTGGCTACTTCAAAGCTCATCCTTAGTGGAGCAGGAGCTTTAAAGTGTGAACTGTGTGGCTCTCTGGCTTGGCCGGTTGGTTACATCTGCCTCCTGCCCTTCGCAGAAACATGTTCTTTCTCAGTATAGCAAGGAAGTGTGCCTGAGGACACGTGGCTGCCTCAAGTGAGGACCGGTAGAGCCTCTTCCCAGTGTCACTGGGCAGCCTCTGTGCAGCTGAACTGGGCTGTGCTGCCTGCCCAGAGTGGAAGCACTTGGTCCAAAATTCTCCTCCTTGAATGTCATAGGAAACAGAGCAGGAAACAATGTCGTCTGGTTCCTTCCCCTCCTTTTCTCCAGCACAGGAGTAACTTTGTGTTTTTAAAAACATACAACTCCCTTTAAGCTGGCTGATGACCAAGGCCAGATTCTGCGGGTGGCAGCAGATCCATGATTCCTGTTCACTTCCGTAGGAGTGGATGTTTCTTGGTATCCCTCTGGGGTGCTATTAGTGCTAGAATTGGCTTTTCATGCTGCCCCTGTCAGAGTGTGAAGCCTGTCCTAAGGACTTTACGATGGTTGTCATCTTACTGAACAACTCCATAATTCAGACCTCCATCTATAGCAAACTAGCCGTTGTTGAACAAGCCTAAAATACTTACTAAATCAAAACTCCCACTCAATTCAGTGAGACTTACGTCAGAGTGAAGCATTCAGGGTCTGGCTATGTGTGTTTGTGTCTTACTTGGAGCATATACATCTTCTGAATTCCCAGGTTGAGCAGAAGGCATAAATTAAGGCTGAAGTTTCACTGCTGACTCATGGGTTTAGCTTGCTCACCTCCGTAACCTGGGTTGAGCCAAGGTGATGGTATTCAGCACATTGTTCCAGCCAGCAAAGGAGGCCTTAATTAAGACATCACCATCCCAAAGCAGCATCACCCATCACTTTCTGGAAAACTCTCCCCCTCATAGCTCAGATCATTTTGTGATGACTTTTCGGAGCGATCCATCATTTTTTGTTTTTATTTTAGCCACAAAAACGCTGAAAGCACAAACAGCCCAAGTGCTCCAGGAAATGTCTGTCTTTTTTTTTTTTCCAAGAGAACTGCTGTGCTAGGACTTCTAATGCATACTGGTAATTGCAAACATTCCCCTTTGGACTAGTTGTTGGGTTATTGTTATGTGCCTGTCACCATAGCATCTGGGCGCAAGGCATGAATTCAGCAGCCTTGTTCTCTTCTGTGCAGAAAATATTCCCCTCCTGCTCAGCAGTCGCTCAGATGCCTTTTGGTGAAAAGGCTGGAGGTGTGTGGTGGTTTATCCCTGCTCTGCAAGGGGGGAAACGAAGGCACAGCGTGGAAATGTGACTTCCAAGTGCTGCAGTGACAGGGCTGTGCGCAGGCCTGCTTTAAATGGGCGGTTTGCAAGCTGATGGCATCTCCTGGAAGCGTTGGCCCGTCTGAGTTCTCTCCTTGTCTCTCAGGAGGGACAAGTATGCTTTTCTTGGCTCTTCCTTTCAGCCTCTGTCTTCCCTGCAAGTCCTGCCGGCTGTGGCGTACCAGCGTCCTGGAGTAAACACCCTTCCCTGCAGCCTTTTCCATTTGGAGGCTTAGTCACAGGCCCTGGGGTGGTGACAGGACTTTAACCCTTATGGCGCTAGAGACCAGCCTGCTGGCTCTGGGGGGCTGGCTTTCTTTTAAAAACTCCCGGCTGTTGTCGAGTTGTTTTTCTTGTGCGGTCCAGCTGCAAACAGAGCAGTGTTACAGGCGGTGGCTTCGTCAGTGTGAGCAGAGCTGTTCCGGGCACTCGGACGCCAGGCTGGCGAATACACCGTCTCCTAAACTGGTGGGTCCTTGATTTCAGGTGCTGCTTTCAGGGGATCGAGCGCGGTGCTAGGAGCCGGCAGTCAATGCATTCCGATTCTGGGACTGATGGTGGTTCACAGTGCTTGGCCTGCAATAAGTCACTGTAGAGCAGATTTTTAGAAGTGCTGAGCGTGTGCCAATCCCACTGGAGTCCACGGGAGGTTTGGTAGCCTCGCGCATTGTGGAGTGAGGTGGCTGATTGCTCTGGGTTTCAGTTTCCTCTGTTGTTCTCTTGGAAAATGTCTGTTGTGTTGCAGGCTCAGTTCTCCATGGCCGTAGGCACTATGAGCTGTTGTTAAATCTGTCATCTGGACTGCTTTGATTAGGATGCGTGATCAGTAAAAGTCTGCAGAGTGATTATGTTCGTTCTAAGACCGTAGTTATCAAGTGACCCTCAGTCTTGCTGAGGTTATTTCTCTCCACACATGCAAGAAAAAGTAGTTGATTTACGGGGTGGTTCACACTCTTGTCAGATCCCAAGCCAGATATTATAGTGGAGGGTACAATTTAGGAGGCTTGTTTGCAAACGTGGCTTACCAGAGTATGTGGCTAAAGCATCTCTCTTCCATGTGGGTTGGAACATGAATAGTTGTGTTGAGTCAACATTTAGTTGGTTATTTTTGTCTAGGTTAAAGAAGGGGCTTAATCATTCTGACCTTGAGCACCTGGAGTGTTATTTCAGGACTTAGTCTGCTTGCAGAGAAACTTTGATGAAGCCTAGGAGAAAAGGTAGTAATGAGAGGGGACTACAGCTTGATGTCATTTTAATTATTGTGATTATGCCGTACATTTTTCTGGCTCAGAATCGTAGAGGTGGAAAGTCTGTCATCTCAGCCTTGCATGCTCTGTTTTCCAGTGGAAGCAGAGGCTGTGAACCTCTGAAGGTGAATGGGATACGTTAACACGTGGGGATGCTGCTAACTTGCTGCTGACTTTGTTTCTCAGGTGGAGGCGGAGGCTGTGAACCGGGCAATAACCATCGCCAACCAAACCAACTGCCCCCTTTATATCACCAAGGTGATGAGCAAAAGCGCCGCTGATGTCATTGCTCAAGCCAGGAAAAAGGGTAAGTTATTTCCCTTGGATGGAAGCACCCTATTAGCTCATGCAGTTCAACTCCTTGCCAACATAAGCTTCATCCCTACAGGAAGGGTTTCTTTTTCCAACGTCATTGTCCAGGCTCTTTTTTAAAAGGTCCCAAGCAACTGCTTCTCATCTCCCACAGACAAGTGTTCAGTGGTCGTATCAGTGCCAGGAGCCATTTATTCTGTTCAGCCTAGAGCCTCTCCCTTCACGCTTATGCCACCGCATTGAGCCATGCGCCATCACGTTATTGCAGAGTAATTCCACGCTGTCTCCGTTTAACGAATCCCCCTGGAGACTGCAAGCTGTGTCCTCCTTCCAGCTGCTGTGGTCTTTCCTTGGTGCTTTCTTCTGAGCTGCTTCCCGGGGTCAGAAGCGATTCCAAGAGTCCTGACAGAGGTCTGGACTCACGGACCCTGTCAGATTCAGTTGGAGTAGCTGAAGAGGTTACTGATCCAGCTATCGTCTGTGCCCCTTGCTTGTGACATAGATACTCCTCATGTGCTGTGACTCGCAGCCTGGCATCCAAACAGGAACTGGGATCAGTAATAACTCTGATAACTCTGCCGGGGGACGCTGCAAGAAGCAAGACTCAGACCTGCCGTGGATGCTGCTGCCTCGTCTCCGCTCTCACTGAGGTTTGTGAGGGCGCTGCGCTGCTCCGAGAGATGCAGTAGCTTCTCCTGAGTCCTGACCCTGCTGTCTTGCCCCCACGGAGTGAGGGTTACAAAGCACAGCGAGTGCCTGTCTCCCTGCTTTATTCTGTGACTGAACCCTTCATTTCTATTTAAAGCATCTCTGGGTGGGTGAGTAAGCAGGAGGGATGATTTTCCCCCTTCTTTCCTCAGAAGGGTTGGCTTTAATTTTATGCAATCTAAATAAGCCTGAATGGATATACAAATGACATCACTTTCCATCTGGGTGTTTGGTGCGAGAAGAGCTAATTTCCTACCGCAGCAAACAGATTTGTGTTTGTGTATTGGCTCAGAAGTATTTTGGTCCCATGATTCCTGTTGAGTGAGCTCAGAAGTGGTGAGGAGGACTGATTTCCAAGACATCTCTTTCTGTTTGTGGCATGGAAGCAGCTCAAGCTGTTTGGGATAAACCTTCCTCTCCTAGCTCCATTAGCGGAGATCACGCTGAAATGAGAAGATGTGTTGACATGGCAAAGTGGCTGCATGTTGCACTACCCCAGAAAACAACTTGATGTGGTTGTGCAACTCAATCCTATAAGCCAGGAAGCATCCCTTTCTTTTTCTAGGTAAAGCACTGGAGACTTAATGCACCACGGAGATGGAGCATCAACAGAAGCACCTTCTTGCTATGCTCGCTGTCCCCTGAGACCACTAGCTGGCAAGCAGAGAGGCACACTGGGGTCAGGGACTATACACTTACATCGCAGAAGCCATAAAGCACAACCTGCCTTGGCTGGATGTTACCCTGCCTGCCAAAGGTGCTGGGATTGTCCCCGATGAATGACCCACAGAACTCATTTTACTTAGCCTCCTGAGTGAATTACCATATGCGGTTTTCATTCAGATTGTGTTTTCTCCTTATAAGGAGAATTCGGGGTATAAATGGCACGCCGTTCTCTGTTCCTTTATTTAAATAATTCAATTTAAATGCTGTGCAGTTACCCAACTGGGTAATCCAGGAGGGCCACACACACTAGCCTTGCCCTCCCAAGCAACAGAGGAAACATAACTGAAGACTATCCAAGGCAAAAACAAAACAGAATTGATTTGTTAAATGGAAGAGAACGAATGTTATTTAAAGCCAGATGTTCCCAGTGGCATTTGTATGGAGGAGATTCCCTGCAGACTCTGTCGTTGGCAGATCTGGGAGCTCAAAACATTGCTCCCTGCAGAACAATCCTCCCAATGTATTGGCCCACAACAGGCCTCCCATTAACAGCCAGCGTGTGTTTTGCCTTGTTCTGATTTCGTAACCCTATTTGTGGCGAGTGATGTCAGACGGCCTCTTCCTCTGCTGGTGGATCCCCCCTGACAAAGGCTGTTCCTACACCTCCTCTTTCAGTGTGGTCCTGGAAGCAGCGTGAAGCCAGTTAATGCATTGTTCTGCCTCAGCTAATGCCCTCTTTCCCAGCCAGCTCGAGAGCCTATAGACCTAACAGTAGCTCCAACAGTACGTGAAAGATCGCGTTTTTGTACTTCGCATGGTGATGCAAAGACGCTGATGTCCGGTCCTGGAGTTGCCTTTGCCAGTCTTTTCTGACTGAAGTATTTAGGGGTTAGTATTTTAGCTACCCGTGTCTTTTGCAGGCAGATACAGATACATGAAGTGTCTGGGCTCAGAAGCCAGATGGATAGGCACTCTACAGAGATTTTGGGAAGGTTTCATTTGGTGAGCAGATCTGTGGGGCTACCAGCTTGCACTGCTTTTGAAGTTGCAGCATCCTGCATCTGCTTGGTGTGCAGATGTTGCTGGTGCATTCCAGCTTGCAAAGCATCACGGCCTTAAAGATCTGCTGTTCCTTCATGTGGTTCCAAAAATGTTAATATATTAAGAGGAAGGATGCACTGGTGGTTAGCACACTGGACAGAGAGTCAGAAGATCCAATTTCATTTCCTAGTTCTGCCACAGATTTACTGTGTGCCCTTGGGGGATTCGCTCCGTTTCCCTGAGCTGCATTTGTGACTCAGAAACACAGGTACTCCCTCTGGGCTGGGCTTTACCAGGCTGTAAACTCTCCTGGTAGGAGTTTTCTCTTATCTGATCCATGCACAGAGCCTGCTCCAATGCACCCAGCCTGGTTAGGTCTTTAATACGTGCACACTTACAAAAATGTTGCAGGCACTATTTTTTTTCATTCTTTTTCTTCCGCATCCCTTCTTCTCCTTCATAAGGTTCTTGGCCCAGGATATAATACACCAACTCTTTACAGTAACCCTTTGAAGGGTTCATCAGCACTGACCCCAGCAATTGTGGAAGGGCATTGTGCACGTTTTGCTGCTCCATGCTCTTATCAGGAACAGTATCTTTATTATTAACTCAGGTATTTAGATGTTTGGATACTTATTCTGAGGACCTGATTTTTGGAGAATGCTAGTGTTTCTTTAGAGATCTCAAGATAGGCCTGTAAAATTAAGAGCTTGCTTGTGAAAACATGCCCTTAGTAACGTAATGTAGTTTCAGAGAAGCATTGAACAGGCCAGGAGTTTAATGATCTCTGATCATCTGGTTATACAGGCCAGTGAACTCAATCCAGTTTTGTGTCTCTGTGATCACGTACTTAAGAGGAAGTACCAAGAAACCCCGCAGCGTGTGATGCTGGCATAACTTTCCCAACTTGTCCTATTTCAGAAGGATGCCTGGAAGCCAGGCTGGAGATGCATGTTGCTTGGTGCTCACAGAGGATTTGCCTGTATTCCTGTCCTGTAGGCACTGTGGTGTATGGAGAGCCCATCACAGCCAGCTTGGGTACTGATGGATCTCATTACTGGAGCAAGAATTGGGCTAAGGCAGCAGCTTTTGTTACTTCCCCACCACTGAGTCCTGACCCAACCACTCCTGATTTTCTCAACTCGCTACTGTCCTGGTGAGTAGAGCTCTTTGTGTTCATACAGCACGTGCATCGTCATGAGACATGTTGGCGATGAAAATAATAGTTGTTGTTGCCAGTGAGCAAAAGGCTGTTTTACCTTTAGGAGTAAACCTGTAACAAGAAAATATCTTAAATACCTATCGTTGTCTTTTCCAGTGGAGACCTCCAAGTTACTGGCAGTGCCCACTGCACCTTCAACACTGCTCAGAAAGCTGTTGGGAAGGACAACTTTACCCTGATCCCTGAAGGAACCAACGGGACTGAAGAGAGGATGTCCATCATCTGGGATAAGGCTGTGGTACGTCACAAGTGTCAAAGGCTTAGGCTGCAACTAGGCATTCAGAGCTGGAAGAGCTGCAGCAGTGTGGTGTTATCTCCCCCTGAGATGCTTGTTATGGTCCTTCCGCTTGTGGTTTTTGCCCCTATAGCGATCATTTGGAATCTCCTGTGCTGTCAGCTGTTGGCTTTTTGGAGCGGCCCCCACCTGACTGATGCAGTGACTCCTTCTGTCTTTCCCCAGGTGACTGGCAAGATGGATGAGAACCAGTTTGTCGCTGTGACCAGCACAAATGCAGCTAAAATCTTCAACCTGTACCCGCGGAAGGGCCGCATTGCAGTGGGCTCGGATGCTGATCTGGTTATCTGGGATCCTGACAGTGTCAAGACAATCTCTGCCAAGACTCATAACATAGTAAGGATATTTTCTACGATGTGAGCTCTGCTGCTTATTTCCTTCTCTCTTCCTTCCATGCCAGACTGTGCTGCCAGGAACTAGAGCTCATGACAACTCAGGGCTTTGTTTTCTACGTGCCCCAAGCCCTCTCTGGTCTTACACCCAGTACAGCTCAGTTGTGTGAGCAGAAGGGAGGATGATTGAGTCCAGTTCTGAAATCACATGAATACCCAGAGATTCCCCTCAGAGCAAAGAGATTGCCTGCTCTTTCTGAGTGTTGGATGCTTGGATCTGAGCACACAGAAAGCTCTTTAAATCTTCTAAAATATCAAAAGGCTTCTTAACACACAATGTGTCATTTATGACCTCCTGGCTCGCTAGCAGTGGGAACGCGAACTGCCCCTTTTCTGCTTGGGGTTGGTGAAGCTTGTCAGCTCCCGGACACCTTCGCTGGAGATCTGATCCAGATCAATGAGCCTGAGTGGATTTACACCATGTACTGACGTGGCACGTGTGTGTGGAGTCATGTGTAGATGTGATTTTACTGGTGGTCATCCCGGCGTTAGTTGGCGCAGGGAGGTACAAGGCAGCACCCAGATTAACCAGGCCTTCCCCACGTTTCTTTTGTGGCTCTGTGGTGGCACTGTTAGAGGCACCGTTTGCCTGTGGCCCACCGCTGTGTCCCATATCTTATACCTGGCTCCCACAGCGAAAAAGCTGTCCCACCCTGTGGGAAGCTGCAGAATGGTCCCAGTGCAAAGGGCTGGTTGGAGCCTCCCTGTGACATTAGAGCAGTGTCTCAGAGAAAGCAACCACTGTTTGCGTTTGTTGACGATTTGTTTCACTGCTGGCGACGAACCTATGGAATGTTTCCCTGGAAAAAACCTCCTTGTTCTTTTTTCCGTGAATGCTTTCATTCACTCTGGAGCCGAAGGAGCAAAATTTTCTTCCACACTTGGTTCCCTGGGCACATTCACAAAGAAACTTATTTTAAAGGTTTGGTTCACTTCCCTGTGACTTAACTCCGTGTCAGAATTGGTCACAGATGGCCTGGATTCATCCTGCCTGTGCTTAGGCTTCTAACAGAGGCATCCAAACTCAGGAGTCTAGTCACTTTGATTGCCTTAAAGGTGCTTCCAGACTCATCAGACCTCCAGTCTGGAGAGGAATGACTTAGAGGAGGGAGCCCAAGGACATAGTGCTGTTAGATGCCAAGTTTAGTGGTCTGAACCCGTGTTTGTGATTATGAATGGCTCAGAGAGCTGAAAGTAGCTTGCTGGAAGGAGTATTTGAAAGTCATTGCCATTTAATGGCTGTTGTCTTTCGGAAATGAATTGGGCTCTCTAAATTTCCTAACACAAAACTCAGAGACTGTGTCTTTCGTGGACGTGCTCCAGTACAAGCAGGACTGACTCCGTGATTTTGCCATAGATCAGGGCTAGGCTGAAGGAGAACCCGACTGACTGTGGAGCGACCATTCAGAAATGCCTTATAGGCTAAGGACTGCAGATGCCCCTGAAACTCTTGCACCGTGTAAGAGGCCTCAGCACTCAATGATCAGCTCTTGCCAAAGGCTTCATCTTTAAGTTCAAACGGGGTGCCCAGATTAAGGAGGATGAAGGCTCTCGTTTTCAAGTGGTTTATTTTGAGCTTGAAGGGCTGGCTAAGAAATAGCAGCTTTTTTTCTTACATGTCCAGCTCTAACCTCTTCCCCTCTCTTGTTACATTGCCTGTTATACCTGGCATTACACCTGCTGGGGTTTTTTATGTCTCTTGCTGCACGTGTGCCCTGTGTTAGAGGAGAAATTGATAGGAGTGATGCCTTTAGCGTCAAGGCATCCTAGTTTGGTCAAGTATAAAACAAAAGCCCCTTTGAAAGTCAGACAGAGCAGTTGCTGCGACACAGGGAGACATAGTGATTATGTGGCATCAGATGATTGTTACTTTTTTAAATGCTGGAGCAACATACGGCTATTTTCCAAGAATTCACACTGCTCTTGCCACTGTCTGGCAAGGAAACATTAGGAGCTAGAGAGGGAGATAGTGTTGTTCTTGGAACCAGCCTAACTCACAAGATTCTAACCAAGCCTCCTCCTTTGCCACCACAACCTTTTTTCAGACTGGACCCAGTTCAGTGTCGGTTTAACCGCCGTTCTAGCTAATTGTAAATCTGCAGTCAAGCCTACCCATACTTATAACACACTTCAAGAGAAAACTCCATTATTAGTTCAGTAGAAAAGACCTGGATTTGTCTCAGAGATGGTCACTAGAGTAACAGTCCCCAAATGGCGTGACTGTAGTGCATCTCATTCCAGGATGCTTCATGGGTGGGACGTGTACCAGTGATTTCTTTAAAACTTGTCTTTTTTTCCCATGTTGTAATGTTTCCAATCCTGTTAATTGAGGATGAACAATCCCATTAGAGTAAAACAGGATTGTCCTGGTCCCTGACCCGTCAACTAAAACACCGGTTTGAAAAACAGCTTTTCAAAATGATCATTATTTTTAGTATAAAACTCAGATGAAACTTTATTTGGCCCCTAAATCCCCCACAGTTCAGAAGAGGTAGGTGCCTGAATGCATTTAAACGGGTGGACTTTGAGATCTTCTCATTTGAACCCGAATTTCCTCTTTATGAATCTTGTTACAATGGAAATTTTGCATGAGTAAATCCCTAATAAATTTAGACTGATAATAAAGACCAGCCTTTCTGTTAAACCACATCATACACAACTCAGGTAAATGCTGTTGAGTTTGCTTCCATCTGTCCTTAAAATTTTGGCAATTAGCATGACTGGTGATAGCCAATTAAAGCACAGCAGGCTTTGCTGGGATGAGTGTGTTTGCCTCATGTTTTCTTTTTGTTTGTTCTAGTCCCTGGAGTACAATATCTTTGAAGGCATGGAGTGCCGTGGGTCTCCCCTGGTGGTTATCAGCCAGGGGAAGATTGTGCTGGAGGATGGGAATCTCCATGTCACCGAGGGATCCGGACGGTATATCCCCAGGAAACCGTTCCCTGACTTTGTTTACAAGCGCATCAAAGCAAGGAGCAGGGTGAGTATAAATGGTTGGACGCACATGTGTTCTCTCACCGAAACTCCTGAGTTAAAGTGGGTGGAAAACAGATGCTGTCCCCTGGCTCGTAGGCGCGCACTTCTGCAACAGAAAATGTTCCCTGGATAGGAGCCATCTGTATCTCATTCCTCTTTCATTTTTGCTATTCACTCGAGTCATTACAGGAATATGCTCTGGCTTGAGCTTGGATTTTCTGCAAATTTTACTGTCTTGGGACACCTAGACAGAGCACGTGTCCAGGATCTGTCCAGTTTGGACATGAGTCAATCTGCAAATAAGCCGGCAGGCTTTTCCTGTCACTGACGTGCCAAGAGAAGTTATTGATAGCATGTATATATCGAACCTCTCGGCAACAATTTAGAATCCTAATTTATTGTTATAGGTACATCATGCTGCTTTCCCTTCTGTCAGATATGATCAGATGCTCTTGTCTGGTGACTGGTGAGTCACAGGCACAGCCTACTGACTGTATAAAAGTGAGAATTTTCTATTTTTAAGAGGCTAAAATGGTTGGAAAAGTGTTTTTGTAAAATACACCCATTCAAAACAGAAACTGGTTTTTGATATGCCTTTTGTTGGTAAAAATTGACAGAGAAGATGTCACTGAACTCAGCTGCAACTTAGTTGCTGAGAATTTAAGAAGTTTATTTCTGGATGTAGTCAGATTTCTGAGGAGAAATGTATTTTGATGTTTGAAGTGTTGCCCTCTCCTGGGCAAAACCAGAGCTGTGTTAGTTCTGCTGACCATACGTCATCTCCACATTCCTTGCAAATGATCTTTCCTTAATTGTTCTTTTGAAGAAATTGCAAGTTACCAAAATTACAACCTGAAATAATTTAGCACCACAGCAATCAGATCCGTGGTTTCTGTTGTGTTCTGGTCTCCCACAGAAATATGTGTCTGACCTCTAAATCCAATTGGGCAGCATCTCAACTGGAATAATTGCATTTAACCCAACCTAAAGCTCCCGAGCTGGCGACGGGAAGCCAGCGTGGCTCCTCTTTCTGCAGACCTGCCTCTGTCTCAGCACTGTTTTGCTTTTGAGGGATGAGTAATAGGTTTCGTTTGAGGGTTGTTGGGAGCCTTTAATACAGCAGCAGGTAGGTTGAGATCATTAAAGGACGGAACTTGTGGTGCAGGGGACAGACTGGCCGTCTCCGTAGGCTGCAGCCAGCTGGAGCCACAGCAGTCCAGAGCACGTTTCATTTTATTCATCCGTTTTATTCATTTTATCTTCAGAGAGCGGCTGCCCCCCGAGGATCAGCATGGGGGAGATGATGTACGCTTTCAAATCCTCTTACCCAAGACAAGGCTTGACATGGGTGTCTTTGGCTTAGCCACATCTGACCAGCTGTTTAGTTCTGGTTTGAAGGTTGTTTTGACCCTGAAGGCTGCCTGCTTCTGTGTTTTGCAGCTGGCCGAGCTGCGGGGTGTGCCTCGAGGCCTCTACGACGGACCCGTCTGCGAAGTGTCGGTGACGCCGAAGACCGTCACGCCAGCGTCTTCAGCTAAGACGTCTCCGGCCAAACAGCAGGCCCCACCCGTGAGGAACCTGCACCAGTCTGGGTTCAGCTTGTCTGGTACATACTGTTACGGGGCTAAACTGCTTTGAAACCACGGCTTGCTTGCGCTCCCATCCTCTGCATTAATTCTGCTGAAATTGGAAGGCAATGAGGGAGGCTGTGACATGTTTGTAGCTCCCTTCGGAAAGGGAGAAGAGCAGTATAGCAGCTATCATGAGCAGCTGTCATAAAGTCCTGCCCGTTTCTGTGCCGTGGCGCGAATGCCG